GACTTTATTTCGTAAGAATATTTAACTGACTGCAACGCCGTCTGCATTTTGCCTTACCTAAGTACAAGGGCTTTCCACCATTTATAGCCGCGAGTCCAGTTGCAAGGAACTACTTTGTAGAATGTTCTTCGTCCAAGACAAACGAAAGACTCATCTACGACGCACAGCGTTTTGATCATTCTTTGAAAGGAAGGTGCCGTTGGTGAGCAATTGTAAATCGGCCGACATCGATGAAACGTCGCGTCCTTCAAATAGCAGAACGTGCATTCGCCATTCCTTTCTATATGTCGATCGCCCTGAAGGTCAATTTATCTATTAATAAACACGTAAGTAAGCATGAGATGCAGACGCAATTTAGATGTATAAATTTTTGAATTTAAACTGTTGGATATTAAATTCAACGGTTAGAGATAAAATAGGTGAGATATGTAAATCTGTCGTAAAACATGCTCAATGCCCATCATAAAGGTAATGTTTTCTCTGTAACAAAGTCTACATGACGTTATACATGCAGCGACAACTATGTCTCAGACCAGGAGAAATCTCAAGAAATAATAATGCTCAAGGCTTCTGCCGTGGCTAAACACAGTATCAAGTAGAACTAGTAGAAACTGGGTAAAGATACTCAGGAAGGAAACCAAATGGAACAAATGTGAGTTTTGGAATCGATCGCTCTGAAGAAAACATAAAATGAAACAAAGCCTCAAATGGAAGCCTACTCCTAATTTACATAGCCAGTAAGACTATATTCAGTCAAGTCAGCGACCAAAAGTGTACTACTTATTATGAATCATCCCGTTATCTCTAAAGTATGATTTCTGAGTTTTTCCTTCACATCCATTCCTCCTCACCAATTTACTGTGCCCCATTTCTATTACATACCACGTCATAAACCTCATTCCAACAATACCGTGTACTAAATACTAAGCAATATGGAAGAAGTGTTAGTTACGCTTTCCTGCCTCACAACTGATTTATTAACTCGAAATGGAAGATTGTTCCGGATATTTAAATAAGATAAATACGTCTCACATTTAGACACCTACCTCTGATTATTTGGTTTTTATGTATTACGGCGCTTTCATTCAAAAGAATATTTCTCTAGTTTTTGCTAGCTTTCATTCATACTTTACAGGTGACGTTTGTCTTTGGACGGCAAACCAATCGTAAGCTCTCGCCGTATTTGCAATTTGCCGGGAATTCGCAATCTAAGCAGCTGGCGCCCAGGTCAGAGCACTTTTCAACCGCTGAACAAAGCTTTCTAAGGAAAAAATTATCAAATGATGATTTTGAGAAGCAGAGAAATATACGCCAAAATTCCGGACTGCTGCACTGTCGACGCTCCAAAATAAGCCTTCTCACCAAAACCTATAGAATCTTCGTCAGCGACGGAACAGGCACGAAACGCGAAGACACCGAAAATAACTGGCCACAGCATACAACTATTCAAAATAGAAGCATGAGCAGTGAATGAAATCACCTGGTTGTTACGATTATGCTAACAACGCGAATAAGACAGGAATACGACAAAGAAATTCCTTTTCTGTTACACCTTGAACGCTGTGCTTCCGAAATAAAGTTTACTTCAACAACGAAAAACAAACAAACGTCCCACTGTAAATGCCAACTTTGGATCAAGTCGTCACTTCTTCTTCATAGAAGCATACCCCGTGGCGGAAGCATTTAGGCCTACGTACTTTGCAGTACTTATTTTGTTGATATAATGCAGGAACACCATCGACAGGATAATGCTAAACATAACGATGAAACGGAGTACAACTAAGACAACTTGTAATTACCAAACTGTTACGCATACTCTGTGCACGAGCATGCAAGAAAATACTGCGAACGCCATCGATATAATAACTAGAATACAGTATTACCAACATTCATGAAAACATCAACAGGCTATGACAGATATTAATAAATAACAAAAACAATGTATGTTGGAGAGTCTTGAACATCTAAGGTCTTCTGATTGAAACGTTTAAGGCAAAAAAGTGAAAGGAAGAGATTAATTAATGCCGAAGTTTCGAACATGCCATTGAAACGTTGCATTGCTTTCTAATTCGTGACATTTCGAAACAGAATATGTAAAATAACTATATAAGTAACATGCAAAAGCCTACTCAAAAACTTGATTTTTACACCAGTCTTTAAATAATACAAACACTGTTTCATGTTCTAAAATATTTCCAACGCATTACCTTCAGGAAAGATTTTCGCTTGAAATGATGGACTGAAAAGGCTGGCCTCCAAGTTGCTTATCGCCTAAACGAGTCAATATAATAAGGCTGCGCTTGGATTAAATCGAAAAGCGTTAACCTACCGTTAGAGAGAATACGAAAACATTAGCTCCAAGAAATCCTCCAAGTACCGTGCACAATTTGGAGGAAGCGAAATAACCGCGGAACGCTTGCATCATCGCAAAGATGAGAATGGTCAACAAGCTGGCCATTATGGTCGAAGTGGAATGATTCATTTTCAGGTGAATCTGCAACCAACTTTTTTCAAGGTGCACCTAAGCAGATTACTGAACGGCTTTTATAATTATGAAAAGTATCCTTTTTGTAGTCATGGAGGAACAAGCTAAACAACAAAAAGCAACTAGTACACGCTGTGTATAAATTTATTCCGCAAAGTATAACATGATCATGAATAACGTGAACAAACGCAAATAGTTCACAGCCATGACTGACTGAGGGTGGTCAATTTTATGATACTGGAAGATGTACTGCACCAGGCATGATTCGGTAAAAGTCGATAATCAGACAAAAACAATGCGCTGATTATAGAGAGGAGGTGGATTATGCGAGTGACCAGAAAGGTGAAGATATCTGCCTAGTCGAGAATGTTCTTCAATTTCGATGACAACGAGAACTTCAATTTAGGCGGTATCAACGACGGCACTAAAACAATGCTTTAACACTGATTACTGTAACTTTCATGGACTTGCCGAGCCACACTTTACGTTGAATTGTCACTTCCGCCAACGCTTCACCATTTCGATTAACATGTGACTGAAAAGTTGTATAAACGTGAAGTACAAAGTGAAAGCACAGTAAACATTTAGCGACAACTCTGGTTGCTAAAGACGATTAAGTCTCAACTGCCATTATATAAGGATAATCATGGAAAAGGCTCCTTTTCCTAGACCAAATCATTCCTTTCAAATAATTCTGCCCAATCCCACTTAGATAGGTACATAAGTGAGTTGCTTATCAAACATTTCAAAACAGGAACCACTGTAGGAGTCCTGACGAAAAAATGTAAATTCAAAACAGAAAATACTGACGAATAAGAACTAAAATCGATCTGTACTTGAGTCCAAAGGTCGCCAGTTTAAATCCTAATCAGGTCAGTCGCTCTTTCGAAGAAGATAAATGATTAAGGCCACCAGACAACAGATATTCTTAAAAACGAAGGCATTTCTGGCTGACGAAACAAAAGCGAGGGGAATCAGTGTCACGAGGTTCCCAGTGAAATGAGGTCTGTAAAGGTAAACTACCATAACGAGGTTTCACTTCTTTTGTCTAGAGTATCAAACTTTGTCAGGGACAAGAACTGAAGAGCAATAGATACAGAACGTGATATAAAGTTACGCAAACTCTGAAAAATCACTGTTTAAAAAAGACTCCTAAAAGCATTTTACTTCAACACAATATAAATAAACGAAAAGTTCCATCAACCTGTTCCGTCCTGCAGATGAAAACTTACCTTCCAAGACAAACTCGGCAAAAGTTGAACGTCAACTTCGGCGGGCCAAATCTCGTCCACCGAAGACTGTATTAACTTTTCTACAAGTCTCAATCGCGCTTGCAAAGAGCTCGCTACTCCGATCTTCTTCAGCAAAATTAATATCTCAATCGTGGAGCCCAGCTCGTCTGAATCAAGGAACCACTGCTTAGAAAAGAACGCATAACTATCACTTCCATTTACCATGAATGCTTTCCACAGCAGAGACTACGTCTACCAAGGCGTTTAGTAGCGCGACGTCTTCGTAACGTGAATTTTTCTTAAGAGTCACTCGTAAGCGACCTGCATGCTTTCCGGATCTGACGCTGTACCTGAAAACAGAACAAGTCTATATTTGACTGACACATATGCAGATTTTCTTACGTTGATGAAGTCGAAGAAACGGTCGAAGTCGAAGCCGTGGTTGAATTAATCTCACTCCTGTCCTCTTCTGCCACGTCGCGAGACAACAGCTCTGAAATAAAAATTGTACATTCTCAGCATTACAATTAAACTTTTAATTAGTCCAAAGAGAAAATCATGGCAAAAAAATAGACGTTAATGGCTAGCATAAAACATATTAAAAATATCTTTAAACGCGGTAAATTCCTGAAGAACGACACATACGGTATTCATACATTGTCGAAAAGAATAACCATCGGCAACAAATTAGTAGTTTCGAATTTTGTTGCATAATCAAAATTTTTATCATTAAATAATCTTGTTGTTCAGCAGTAATAGAAAACAGTACTCGAACTAGAATTAAATAAAAACAGGCACAGACATAAGAACTAGCTACGGATGAGGATCATAGCTACATGCCTCGATTAGGAATCGAACCGGGCAACATCTCTAAACATGCTAGGTAGAATAATTACCACTGGATTACTGCTTAACAACAATGTCCTTGGGGTTAATGATAACAATCATGATCAAAAGTTTCAAGTAAATAAGAAAATCAGCTAAAAATTTAGCTTGCGCGGCTGAAACCACATACGCAAAAAAACATCCAAGAGTTATTTCTAAATGAAACACTAGCAACAAATCATTCGGAACATGCTAAATAAGTTCGAAGCGCAATTACCTTCTTTTTTTGCCTCAATTAACGCCTTCTTTTCTTCCCTGCAAGACAACAAACGACGCTTGTAATTGATGAAAAGCTCTTCCTGAGTCTGAAGATCTTCCAATAAATTCTTTACGTGTTCCTCCAAACTAACAGCTACTTCGTTTTCTTTATACAATAGCTTCGCCTGAAATTAATTGTATAAATCAACCGATGTACTGCAATCATGTCCAGAATTTCGAAACTGCGTCTTTCTACTCTGTTCATCATAGAATTATTCAGTCAACACCCATCGGATCAGTATAATCATGTGACTGCACAAGAAAGAGTATCAGAGTAGAAAGGACCAAACTTTAGTTTGCTACTAACTACCGATCTTTTTCTAATGAGACTCAGAAATGACCAAGTGTCATCATCATTATCAGCCGCGGTTAGTGAGTATTAAGAACGATGGGACAAAGTCCTGTGGCTTCTGACAATTATATGTTAAACTGCTTCAAATTTTTGGTGAGGATTCATGAGTAACCTACTTCATCCATATATTGTAAGCTTTATCCCTGGTCAGCGGCTAAACTCCACGATTATGGTACTGTGAGCAGAAATTCCCGCTGTTAACCTCACCACATCGCGAATCAGGGCGGTTTAAAGTAGAAATTATTTAACACAGCATCAGATGAATTCACTTCGAAACTTTCTAGTGCTAATGGGATCAAATTCGCTTTCGGAATCTACTAGTCATAATATGCCTCATCATATACGTCGACCAACAGCCATCACAGCAGCTGATTCCTCGATAACAGTGAAGTTCACTGATTAGATAAACATGCTGATTGTCAATAGGTTTTTCTCAGCTTTATCTTTCCTTTTGAAAAGCTAGACTATAATGACGGACAACATGCTGGAGTACCAATATTCAAATTATCCTTATAAGGAAAGAAATGTTTCTAACCGTGGGATTTCCGTCTCCCTTACACTTTCAAGATTGGCATCATTTGTGGCATTCTTGCTTTTCATTAGACTTAAGGTGTGCGACGCTAATCTCCGATTCCGTGCCATCAGCGAGGACCTCCTTACTGTTCATTTTTTCTAAGTTATTCATACAGCTTAGTGAACACTCTAGCAATCAATTAATCTCCTATTAATTTCCACAGAATGGTATTTAATTACCAACGGAAGAAACGTGAGTCACAGAGCTAGAACTCCTGCCCGGGACCTCCAGATTCAGAGTCTTACGTTCTACAGATGAGCAACACAATGTAAGAAAAAACCTCTTATGCAAAGTAGAAAATTAAGGCCTGGTCAGACAATCAAATAGCTGGCCTAATCTACAACTCAATATTGACATATCGCAAAACTCTACAGCTTACCTTACGCAAAGCATCCTCCCAGCGTTTAGCTTTCATCAGCAGGCTGAAAATCATGTTGTCATCCTGAAACAGTCCATTCAATAGCAGGTGCAGAAATCTTAACATCTGCTTGTGTAAAAGCAGGTGTCTTCATAACAAGAAAAACGTTCACGACTAGTTACTTACCTTAAGATATTTCTCTT